TCCGGCCCTTCTCCCATGCTTGTGTTGCAGCCTTCACGCGTTGCCTTGGTCATTATTGTATAGTACTCCTTGGCCCAATCGGAAAGCTCATGCGTCGTTTCGTTCTGGGTATTGTTTAGGGAAGTTAGGTGTTCATGGACAATACTTTCACCATTTGGGCTGTGCGCTGAATCATCTCTTATGTTTTTCCGTGGCTGTTGGTTGTCCTATGATTAAGACAACACTTAGTTGAACACGAATCACTGTTTGTACATATCGGTGTACTGGAGAGTAACGCGCCGTGGCACCGCTGAAAATATCTGTCTTCGACATTGTTGGATACTTTAGTGGGTAAATTCGAGAAAAGCATGTGACACTAGCGGTGAATAGGAGAAAATTAGTGTGCAGCGCATTCTACCACATGTGCTCATGGGACTATGTTGATGGAGAGGGGCTAGTTACTACCGATGTGTGTGGATCCACGGGAACGCAAATATGGAAGAATAATCCCAGTCCGACGTGTATGGAAATGAAAGTTACACACTTACTGGTAGGATAGATAGTTCTAATTATGAACATAGGAGAATACAGCTTATTCTACCGAGTAATGAAGTGCGTGTAGCGCTTTTAGTGTTGATTTTCGGAGCCTTATTCAGTGGGTGGAACGAAATAGCTTCAGTGGCTGTGGCAGATTGTGGATTCCGTTAAACTCAAACAAGACGTTTAGATAAGCCACTTGGTCATCCTACGCAGCTCAATTTCCGACCCAGTTGGTGTAATGTGACCCAAAGATGGGCACTGGATCCACGTTCGTTCCTAGCCATCATCAACGAACTTGCCAGTGTGCTCCGATCGCACTTCTTACTATATGCAGACGAAATCAAGAGCTGGCATGACATTAAAACGGCAAACGATCACGCAGCACTACAGAGTGATCTCGACAGGACCTATACGCGGTCAGCCGGTAACCATCTCCAGTTGGACGAGGCGAAATGCAAGGTCACAAGCATACGCCACCAGCTTACCCATAATTATCGACTTGGGGATCAGCAGCTACAACTTCCAAGACAGGAAAACCACCTCGAGGTAATCGCGCAGGATGATCTTGCATGTTTGAAACGGGATGAAAAGATAGCGAAAAAACCAGTCAGCACCGTGGACTCTTACGTAGGGCTTTCAGAAATTTCGAGCCATTAATCTTTCTGCAAATGCTGAACGTGTACGTAGGGAACCCCTAAGTGAGGCTAAACGCCTACATGAGGAGTAAGCGATCCAAGCTTGACGCAAGCACGAGATTGCTTCGCTTAAGGCGCAACAAGGTAGAGCGACGAAACTCCTTCGAGGGTTAGTTCCTCTCTCCTACCAACGCAGAATACAAGCCCTGAGATTGTACAGCGGTGAATATCGGCGCCAGCGAGATCTAATTGTGTGTGAAAGATTCCCAAATGTTCTTTCCCCTGCTGCTTTCCTACCGCACGGTTGTGATTCCCTGTACCTTTTTCGAAAACTTCTTTCTCTGTCCCAACCGATCTTTGTTATCTGGCTCTCAATGGAGACTGTGTTCCGTGCCAAGTTAACTAAGTGTAATTCTACATTAACCACATAGAGGACCTGCATTTAACCGTGCAGGCATTGACCTATATTTCCAACTTCTGAATAGACCTAAGTGCCACTTCATGTGGCTTCGCCTCACGTTATCAGTTTGTGATGTTCCATTTTAACTGCCTCGCCGTGGCATTCGAATACTGGCGAGCAAGACATTCCTCGCATCGCATGTGTTCTGACGATGTTGCGAGATCCGGTGAGTAGAGTTCACGTAGGTGAGGACAATTTTAAATGTTACTCCATGTGCAATATCATCACGGTGTGCGTGTAAGGCACTGGCCATACGCCCACGTTTCAGTGCAACCTCCTTTTCCGATTGGCCATGTGTAAGCCTGTTCAAGCCACAGTACATTGAGACAAGCTTATTCTGTGTGAACTTGAAGCTCAGCTTGCTGACTACCTTGGATTGTTGTCGTTGTTTGATACGCCAGTGCCGAAAGCACAGATTACTGAGGTATTGTACATTGTTGTTGCTAATTATTTGTAATAGTAAAGTGGTCCAGTTCCGACCTTGTTCTGTTGAAACCGGGGAAGACGCGTTCACCCAAGATTCCCAAGCGGATTGCCGCTTACATCATGGATTACCTAATACTGAAAAATCCAAAGCAGGCTTGTCGCGACCAGTTGCAACTGAGACCAAATACCAACCTGAGAGGCCGCCAGCTGAAGCTCGCCCTGCATTACATTAGGCCTGACTATCGAGAAAACGTTTTCTCGCTTCGGGTGTCCCGAACATAAAACGCCCTGTCAACCCACGTGATATTGTTAGCTTGCATCAACGCTTTTCAGGAATCGCCAAGAGGACGAGCTTTCCCACCTGCGTCCCTGGTTATAGTGCGTTTCACTCAGAGGACGAAGTGACGCACACCAAAGTATGTGCTAAACAGCCCTCTTCGCCGCGTAACGGTTAGGAAATCTGTAGCGCTGTTGGTGTAAATAGTTTGGACGTACCCAAACTGGATTTCGCATCGGTGCAAGAAAGCGACACATGAGTGAGCATTCACATTTTGTTTCATATAAACGTCAACAATACCTGCTCCCCACATCGCTTTTTGTGCGCACATTCAGTTCCCACTGTTAAACTATCGACATGCAGCTGTGCACTTCAATCGGTAGACGCAAAAGCTGGTGGTCCATATACCTATTGATTTTTTTAATATTTCAGTCTAACCATCCTGCGAGGCCTGTTAAGCACCTGCTTTTTACCCGTGACATATCATTGTTCATAGCAAATAACCGTGAACATGGAGAAAATGCAAGTTGAAGTATAGATGAATACCCTCAAGACGCAACTGGAGCGTATGGCGGCCTTCCGTGTTATGCCGGTAGAAGAGCAGCGTCACCAGGACCTACAACAATTCCGGGAAGTGGCAGCGGAGCTGGATGATGAAAAGAAGCAGTGTGCCAATCCCTTGGCGGTGCGCAAAAGGTTGAAAGGCGATATGACCGGTTCCACTAAGCGGCTCGACCTAGTCACTCACCAAAAAGACGATGCGGTGAAGCAGTTAAAGAAGTTTCAGTGTTAGTGGTAGCATGTAGCGCGAGCTGGAGGGTGCTGTGAGTTCTCGGGATTGGGCGCTAGAGAGATGATGAAAGTTGGAGAAGTGACATACAGTGAGTCAGGACTTAAAGGTGGTCGCTCTAGGTTTGGTCTCGGATGCGCATAACCGAAGGGGCATGTGTCCAAAGGGCATTGCCGAAAGCATTAAGAAGGACACATATGGTTAAGTGCGGGAAGCGACGGTTAGAACCTGCAAAAGAAGTGCTGCGCAGGAATGTAAGACAATTGTGTTTACTAGAGTAGACTCTGGAGAATGAACACGCAGAAAGGGGTCAGTTGAAATCGTCGGGGGAGTGTGAACTACAAATGCAACATTTTCATCCCCCAGTTTCTACTCATCAGCATATGGGTATTTTTTGTTTTCACATTGTTCCACTTGTGCACAACTACCTGGAGTATAAAACATGAACTCGGCGTTCGTTTATTCGTATTGCTGTGGTTAGCTGAAGCACCGCCCTAGTGAATCATTATCACGCACTTCACCGTGGACGTGTTGGCCGTCTCACCGCTGACCGGGAATATCGACTGCTGGAAGTGTTTTGGCTCACGGTTGAGCATCATCTGGACAAGGTCTATAGTAGTGGTAAGTCATTTAGGTACATTAAAATTCACTGTCGTAGAACCATGTTTTACACTGAGTTTCGCTCCGTTTGTTCTGGGAATCAAAATCCAGTGAAGAGGGAGCAGAAAAGTTTTTGTTGTAGACAAGAACGACGAGGATGCGGAACGGTCCTATTGGCGAACGCACCCAGATCTCACACAAGTTAACAGAAGTTGGGATAGTGCGTAATTCTACGCCACTATTGATACTATGGAATTGTTGTCCAGTGCACAGCAAAGAGTTTCAGAGAGCACTAAGATTAAAGCAATGTAGAATGACCAAAGCAACGTGTATATTGGAGCCGGTTCGGAACATAGGGGGAAGTGCGACTGCGACGTATATAGGTGAGGTTCACCTGAACACATCCCTTGGGTCGACACTATCCAAAACAAGGGTGTGCGCTAGTCAGTTATAACTCCCGGACGGTGCAAATCTACGATTCGCCGAAATCGACAAATCGTTGTGGTTAAAGCAGTCATTGTACTAGATGGAAGACCAATAAATGAAGCAATTGTATGAAATACATGGCAGAACTGATAGCGATGTCGCTGACGCCGTCGCCAAGACTGAAAAATGCAATATAAACTATGGAGAGTGTACAAATAAAACTCGAACTACTCGCCAGTAAGGTGAAAATCAGCAATCAAAGAACAGCAAGGAGCGAATATGTACAGGATCGGGTGCGAAAAATGATTAAGTTGATTAGATTGTGATTCAATTGGGCAATTCACGGCAACGTCCATTCAGCATGGGATCCTTTGACGGACTGTAGTGTAAATGAACGAGGTAGCTAGATTTGAACCAATACGTGGGCATCAATGGGATGATTAGATGGAAGTAGAGGAAAACGAATGGGTTTGAGGTATGACTGGAAAGGCAGTTGAAAAAATGGCACGTGGCGCTTATCCAGATTAAACGATGAAAACGGAGAAAGGTAAGTAGGGAAACACAAAGTTTTGTGAGGAAGACATATATACAGCGCGGTTTGAATCAATTTGAGTACGAACGGGTTCTAGTAGACTCCGGATCCGTTGTGGTTGCTGGCGTTGGCCACATAAAGCAGGTGTGTGCTTGAGCGAATACTGGCCACTAGAGATCCATCATAGGGTAACCACAAGTGAAGTGACCATAACAGAGTAGTAATGGAGACGCGAAAGACAACTAGATCGTACGCATGTATCCATGGGACTGATGAAAACTTCAATCAAATCAGCGAGTCACGAAAGCCGTTATACGTAGCTAGTAACATTGAATTTAAGAAGTGGAAGTGAATGCCAAATGCGTGTGTTCCTGAATAACCGAACAAACATCAGCTTCTGTCGATGCAGAAGAAGAGATCGAAGTAAGCTGTTTTGAATCGGGAGAAGAGGACGTTGGAAAAGCCGGAAGGCGACCAAGCCGAGGCAAATCCAGAAGTTCTAAAAAGGAAATTTTAACCACTGTCAAGTGATGTAGGAGTGGGGCGGTGCAATATCATTGAGAGTTGCAGTAAAAGACACCTATCACTGGACGCGGAGAGGGGAGAGCAAGAGATTCCCTTCAAAGACGCGATAATCGAGAGTCCCATGGCAGCTGCTTCTAGAAAATCAAAGAAATTAACCAGGCAAATGTGTCTTATGAGCGGATGTCTGGCATCCACAAGACTGCATCTGATGTACTAGAGCATAGCTCGTAGACCCGGTGCTATATCTTTGGCTAAACTGGGGGATTTAATGTGAGCAACGAAATGTACTCTACCGATGAATCTTCGGAACAAACGCGTGTACCAAAGACCGATTTACCAGAGCTTTAGTTTGGAGAGCAGCTTACAAACCTTTGATAAACGAAATGAGCCCAGCACAAATATCAAATCACAGATAGCTAAATAACCCCCTAATGGTAAAGATTTATATACCAACTAAACACAAGTGAGATGGGAAATGAGTAATGCTGGCGGGTTTATTGGAAGATTTCATCGTACTGCTTCGCCAGCTGGGACATTTATATGCGTGGACGCGATTTGGTGATAATGAAATAGTTTGCCTAAGTAGATGACAGAAAAATCTAGACAATAGCAACATTGCGGCAACAGCGCATTCCCGTGGATCGGCTACATATTTAGGGGACCGGTGAATAGCCTGAGAAGCAACAATGGGAAGCAGCGCGTGTGTTGAATTTTGCATCCTAGAACATAATAGCGTGAAAGTATTTCCCAGCGTTATCATTCGCTCTCTCCTGTCACATTTATCAACGGTCACGCAGAAGCAACCTTTTAGCCTAACGTTTTGGTGGCTGTCACTCTGTCAAGTAGGGGTGCAATTCCGACGGAGGAAACACGATGGTCAAAAAGATCTACCATATCGACACCAAATTGACTCTTGGCAGCGTTGATAACCACCACATAATGCGCAAATCGTTCAAAAAGTTGTCGCAGATGGCGCAAATGTTCGTCCTGGTTCCGATTTGGAAGCAAGATATCTTCAATGTAGACGATAACGAAATCTAGCTCGCGAATGACCTGGTCCATAAAACTTCGGAACGTCTGAGCTAGATTGCGAAGACTAAATGGCATTCGCAAGGACTCAAATATGTGGAAGGGAGTAGCGACAGCAGGCAGTCCGGTCATTGATCGACCACGGCGAGTAGCGCGTGATAAACAGTGGTCGAATTCGACCATATGTTACAGTTTGGCATCGCCCCTACATAAGGTCCCGTAGAATAAATCTGGAGATTGGAGAACTTGTGGGGATTATCGGGGGCTTAACGCCGTTACCGTCCCAGATAGGTATTCCATTCCACATCTCCGGGATTTCTCAGCCTCGCTGTACGGGAAGAAAGTGATCAGCAAGATAGATCTAATGCGGACATACCACCAGATCATCCTTAAGATGTTCCTAAGACTGCCGCCACCACTCTCTTCGGCTTCGTTGAGCTCTTGCAAATGCCATTTGATCTTTGTAATGCAGCGCAGACCTTCCAACGTTTTACGGACCAGGTCATTCGCGAGCTAGATTAGGTTTTCGTCTACATTGGTGATGTGGTAATTACAAGTCAGAAGCAGGGCGAACATTTGCGCCAACTGCGACAACTTTTGAACAAATTGCGCATTGTGGAGTAGTTAGCAACGCTGTCAAGTTAATTTGGAGTTAATTCGGTAGACTTTCTTGGCCACCATGTTGCCTCCATCGGAACTACACCCCTGCCTGACAGAGCGACAGCCATCCTTGAGTACCCCCTACCTGATTCCATGAAAAATTTACGCCGGTTTGTTTGCATGGCTAAGTTCTACAGAAAATTTATACCGCACTGTTCAGAGTTAGCCCAGCCACTTACCAAGCTACTCAACTTGGTTGCTCAATCACTCAGCTTTAGGAATCAGTTAAACACGCATTCAGTGATCAAACACACCAGTTAGAAACTGCTATTCTTCTCGTTCATCTAGACCCTAAGGCCCCGTTACAGTTAAAGGTGGATGATTCAGATGCAGCAGTAGGTGGTGTGCTACAACAGCGACAGAGAGATGAATTGTATCCGATTGGCTTTTTTTCTAAGAAACTACAGCCTGCCGAACGACGCTATAGTACGTTCAGCGGAGAACTCCTTGCTATTTACCTTGTAGGAAACATTTTTACATTTTGCCACACAAACACTAGTAAAATAACATCTCTAATTAGCTGATTTCCACCAGCTATATTGCCCAACATTTAAAAGCTTCATCCAACATACCATCGATCATCTAATGTGAGATGTTATTTCACTAGCGTTTGTGTAGCAAAACGTAAAGTTCCCTACAGTTTAAATTAACAGGGAAAAGCATATATGTCGAGGTTATGATGCGGCAACGAAATGTTGCAAAGCATTTATGTTAGGTCGTCAACAAGGGGGAACACTGAGACACGGTTTTACGGCCAGAAGTGGGACGGCGGCGGGCCACGCGGATGGCTAGAGAAACCGGTTCGTCTTTGACAGCACGAGGACTGCGGTTGGCATGAGCTGACAAAGTAACGCCGTCAGCGTTGGCGTAAGCGAGGCTGCGATTAGTCTGATTTGAGACCACGAATACACGGGGACATAGGTGGACAAGTTATCGCCAATCAGCCAGACGATGTATAGTCGGATTTGAGAGCAAGGACCACGATGGATAGGTGACGTATAAATATAATCATCCCTGTCCTCAATATACTCGGGTTTGGAGAGTATTGTCTTCTGTATCCCTACAGTTGGGTTAGACGGAACACAAGACAGAACAGAGTAAGGGCAGGGTTACAACAAATTCTTGACGCATTCTTCTTGGATTTGGAAATATCGTGACTAGTAGCACATTTTCGCTGGCTAGTTATGTTTCGCATCGTGTACTGAAAAAATACTTGCAGTATATCGTAGTATATTTGTGCTGTTCTGAAACACTGGTTAGCGAAAGGACCCTGTTCAAATCATAAACGATAGAATGTTAGGCTCGATAGGTCAGCGGTAGCGATCAGGGGAATATATCGTGGTTTTAGTTGATAAGAGAAGCAAAAAACTACATTACGGTTAGACCAGTAACAATAAATAAACAACGATTAATACACATAAAATGTTTATTTAAACGAAAAAGATTGGATGCAATATCGCCAAGCACGCATATGCCATTGCAGTAACAAGTAGTGGCTGACATACTTGGGTCAAACCAAAGTCCACTGGGATACAAGGCAGCGGAAGCAGCCGCAATGGATACTCTCTGCTGGGACGGAGATGCAAATGAGTTCGAATCGTCCACATGAAGATATGATGAGGGCAATGGGAACGCATGGGACGAACGACGAGCTGCAGTCACCATCGCATTCAGTTCGGTCAACCACCGGACCCTGGTGTCTGGCGAACGTGGCGCAACCACATAGCACAGATAAGACTGCAACGACGACGCGCAGGCGGAATCAGAAGACGAATCGAACGGCGAGGGTACAGATAAGTTGCGAGCGCGTTCAGATATACAAAACCAGAGAAAATGCTCATCGGTCGGCGTGGAACCCAGTGCGTTTATGTCCTCCTGAGGAAGCAGATGCAAATGACATTGTAAAAACGGTGCAGTTCACAAAGAGAAAGCTGTCAGAATCGTTCCTTTGATAGGACTCTACGAGGGTCAGAATCTGCTTCCAAGATGTAATTATACATGCACCTCAATAGGAGAATTGGCAATAGACGTACCACACCGAAAAGCTACATACATACATTGTACAGGCTAGCTACAGGTGGAAAACACCTCAGCTATTGTGCCGCAATATAAAAGACAAGAAAAATATGCAACAGAGGCACACAGGCTGAGGCACCAATGTCAGATGGACATCGTTCCGGAGAGCTAACGCCTGGCTTTTGTGCCGCCAAAAGTTATATTAGGCCTGATAGATGAGCTCGTGGTTGGAGGGAGAAGCTAAGCGGGAGGGAGAGAGACAAAGTAACTCAGAGTACAAACGCCATTGAGGTCGGCGCCTAACCATATCAACAAGTGTATCCAGCCAAACGTGTTCATTGTCCCTCGGTCCCCAATCAGGGAGCCGAGAGACTCCAACCGAGACCAACTTCGAAGTAAGAGCCTTCATTCCTATTAACTAAGGCATCGCTTGGCCACCTCTTCACTTCTTTCATCCACTTCTCCGGCCTGAAAACAACGCACTTCGCCGGAGCCGGTGGGCTGGCATGCGCAACACGTGGCTCATCCGTCGGAGATTGGTGCATGATATAACGGTGCCAAGCGGCGCAATTCTTCCTGTGCCATAAACGGGACGTCGAACGCGTCCATTACTCACACGGTGTTCCGACCAGATACGAGCCAAACTGCAAACGCACCGGTGGTTGAACGTAACTAGACTCTTTACGTCTGCCGATCTGATGGGTCAGATTTCACAACCTTAGCAAAAAGGTAGTTAAAATGCAAGAACCGGGAAGTGATCTTTAGGCGATTGGGTAACAGTGTAAAGAGATGGGTCAGGAGACTGAATTGCGCCCGTGGGTACCATCCTTCCGGATGGTGGTCGTGGGATGAGTCGCTTCAACAACGAGAAACGCAATCGGATAGCAAGTAATTGCGAGTGGAGCTTATGTATTCGTGTCTTCGTTTCTGACGGCTGCTAAATCTATTCATTGATTCAAGTAGATTAAATCAGCTTCGTTGGAACCGACGAGTTTCTCCTATTTTACTACCATAAAAAGCATAATCACAATTCACGCCACATGAGTCTAGAGACAAAAATGATCAGGACAAATCAATCAATGCATTGTGAGTAGTGTAATAATAATCGCGATTTTTAAACCACATTATATTGGCCTTAATCGAATTTTGTATACGCAGTGGCAATGGGACACATACTGAGGAGCACAAATAGATTTGTACACCTACCGATAACAATCATATACAGATAAGAGGGCATCGAAGAAGTTCCAAATATTGCTTCAAAATCAACCGAATCCTACCAACAACGCACTATTTAATCGAGTAATCCGGTTTGGAGACCACAGTGACGGTTGCACGCATTGAGACGTAAGGTATGGAGGGGGACGGGTGCACACACCCCAACCATTGCAACATATCCAGTTTTATTTGTTGATCAATCAAATTAACCTGAGCACAACCTAGCACTTAGGAATTGGTTCGGGTATCACCAAAGCTGCTTCGTGTGGATCTCTGATGATTAATGCCACATAAGCTGAATTTACTTAGCCCTTAGGGGGATCGTGCATAAAGGAGCATCGAGAGGGCAGTTCACCTATATGACAGTGAGATGTGGCTTGTCGGTTCTGCAGACCTGGAGCATAACTCGAGCGACACAAGCGTGTCCGCAACGATGAGCAGCACAGAGGAGTATTGAGTGGTGGTGATCATGTTGATTAGACAAGCTGCGTTGGCACGAACATTTGCGACACATGCAGACTCATTGCCTACCGAAAAGGGTCTTGCTTTTATTACTCGATGTAGGATGTTATCAAGCTCGAGTGGGGTAATGGTTGTCCAAGCGCTGGGAGATGAAGTCGATGACCATGGGTTTGGGTGCTGCTAATTCCTGTCGCCCAATACGGTGGAATCCATTCGAGAGCTAACATAGTACGGCTCGCGTGCCGCTCTCGTGACATGCTGACTGTGGTATCTGGGCCAAAATGAATGCAAAAAATGTGTCTGCCAATGGGCTATTCGAGGGGTCAAGTTGGCTGTGATGCATCTCAATGAAAGCTGCAAGGAAACAGCATCGTCGATGTCATCATATCTTCATCAGACAGCCAACTGCTTCAGACTGCGCGCTGTTTGTAGAGGGCAGACACTTGAATTCTGGATGTTAGCTTAGGGCGCTTAGGGTTAACGCATCGTTGGTAATGTAGATGATGGTGCTACTGACGCATGCAAGACCAGTTGCCGAATGATGCAGAAGATCTTGGGAATTCGAGGCACCTACCGGCAAAAACAGGGTGTTTGGAAAACCACCTTTCACAGAATAAGTTCGATTACAGAAAGTTAGGAAATACTGCGGCAATACCTCCTTGAGTGGTTGACATAAAAGCAACATTTGAAACAAATATTGCAAAGAATGATTTACGTACCAGGATAGAAATCTGGGAGACCGACAAAGCGTGACGAAACTCGCACTGTAACAGAGGGTTTGGAGCAGCATTGCATGAATCCAGCAACTCGACTGCCGCATCAGAGATTACCAGCGCTTTGTCGTATAGAAAAAAGTGACGACCAGTGAAGTGCAACTCGGCACCCTCGTCCAGCACGCCTCGGAGCATTTCTTCGTCTGGTCCGGTAAGCAATTGAGATCCATTTGTTCCGAGTCGGGTCCCAGCAACCAATTTTGCCGCGACACTTAAACTACCATGTAATCTCAGATTACCCAAAGCAGACAGATTTGTACCGACTGGAAGGCCGACCAAAGTAGGGACAGTGCAGGGAGCCGACCCCCCATCTCCAGCCACCTCGGCAATAGTGGCTAATCGGAAATTGGTTTTGAGGGTCTGAATGGAGGAACCAACATATGAACGCATGCCCAGAATATTGCTCATTGATACCGGTAACACAGGTCATCAAAAAGCTACAAAAAGTAATCACTGAGCATACAGGACAACCAGAACTAACGTGAGAAAGTACAAACTTTAAAAAAACGACCATAAACGGTGTTGAGCAGTTTGAGAGGTGTAGTTGACTTGCATCGCGCAGCCACGGTAGAGCAGCCGTACTTGACCTAAGTTAAAAAGAGTTGTGGTGCTGATGACTGCGGTTTAGTGATTCAAGCTGATGAAGATAGTCAAGGAGCAGGATGCTGAACAGCTGAAAACAAGCCCCATTTTTTCACTTGTTGACCGGGGGCCGAGCGGTCTGCACGCCTGACTTGCAATCACAAGGTCACCGGTTCAGATCCGAGTAGGGGCGGGCGTCGACGCGGTATATTCAGCCCACGCACGACTGATGGTAGTTGCATGGCAGCGAGGGCGCCGTTACGGTGTGCAGCTGACGATCTATCTATAACAAACGACGCCCATATGCGTTGCACAGGGTGTAAGTCGAAAAACATAGAGTTAAGTCTCAGTCCCTTATGAAGGGCTAGCGAAGACGGGCAACACAGAGTCTATGAGAGGGCGGCGCAAGCAGATACTACTTGGAAACGGTTGAGAATATCCGTAGGTCTGCGTGCGGATGTAGTGCTGCGTTGTTCTTCGGGAATGAAACGATAATTCGACGAGGCAAAAAGTGCTTACTGAACCTGGCTCTACAATTTTGATGAGATTGGTGCGCAAAATTGTATTCTACGGACGACAAAGCGGCATCAGAGGTAATCCGAGGCCACAATTTTTTTAGCAACAATTGCGGAAAACCATCAATTCTAAGGGTTTATCCCGCATCAACAGCGCTAGTTCATGTTGGAGCTGGGCGGTGATGGGGATGATTGTATCAAGGATCCAAGTGCCTTCAAGTTACCTAGTTGACGGGGCTGACACACCAGGCTGGTTGAATTGCTATTCAGAATGTCGTCCAGCGCTTCTATCAACGCGACAGAGCGTTTCATCTGTCTCTCTATGTACGGGATTTGTTTCACTCATAAGAGCCTTTCTTGGACTTGTGTGTCGAACAAATTGAAGCAAAATTCCGGCGATCCCCACATGACGCTGGTTTTCTTCATCTCATTGAATTTCACCACCGCCAAACATCCGAGGTCGATTCCCAAACTCTTAGCCTTATGATGTTTCAGTGTTAGGAACAATCTGCAACTGAAATCATTCAAGTAACTTTATCTAAGCTCTAGAAGTCCATCAACTATGCAGATTCCTCATGATGTGTGGATAAGCGGCCACAAGAGCTTTGCATAGCCTATACGACGCGATCTTTCAATCGGGTGCGCCTTGTCAATCGGCCACACGTGGTATCGAAATCGAAATTGCTATTTTTGTTTCTTGGATCGCAAATGAGGGTGACCAGCGAACACACTCGAAGTTGAGTACTATGCAAATGTTCGAAGTAAATGCTCGCATACGTTTTGTCACTGTGCGAGATGGCATCGTCAGTGCGGTGGTGCGCGATGGGCAGTCTCACTGAATGAATCGTCTATTTGTGACCAACGTGCAGTTGACTTTTGAAAGTAACGTCTTTAAAAGTCACCTGTCCGCCGATCACGAATAGACGATACAACTGCCTATCGCGCATCACCGCACTGACGATGTCACACATGGTGGCGAAACGTATGTGACCAGTTAATCAAGTTCGGCGAACAAATCAAGAGCTGAACAACCAACCCGAGCCATCAGTGTTCCAAATTATTTCAAATGTAAACATAAAGTTGGCACATGATTGTGGCCAAGATAGAGGCGAATGCAGCGGATCGACTGGCAGCCTTGAACCGATGTGTGAAATCAACAGCTGGCGGTGATTTGGCTAGTCCGAAACTAGGATAAATTGTCATCTAGCGATCACCATGTAATTCAATACAAACATTCGTACCGGAAAGTAGTGCCATCGATATAGAGGTTGTGCTCAGTATGCAGCCGGTAGAGGTGGGTGCCATTGTTTATATGATAGACATAAGCTCCGAAAGGGCTTCCGAGCTGTTCCCAGTCTGAGACGGTTCAACTGAACATTTATGTAACGATCGCGATGTTTGTGCTCTTGGTCACTCTAAGAAGGGGATAGAGAAAACTATAGAATTCAACCCCGAAGGCCCTGGGTAAAAGTCTGCGGGAGCATAATCCGAATCCGAACAATGGTTATAAACTCCGATGGGGCTACGAGATCGAATCGCACGCATGTGGTTGACCGCTTAGATTCATCCTAGGAGAGTTGTCTCCACACGTCCGTTGAGAAAAACTCCAGCACGTTAAATAACAGAAGTCATGGATTCCATATCCGCAGAACAGCGAAGTATGTTGACCTTGCTGTTGGAATGCGAACCTGGAGGTCGTGGATGTACTAGAACCCGGTTAGCCTGTATTTCTGAGTTACAACACAGTCAATGCGAGGAAGGGTGTTATCTGTTATATGTTTACGTGTGTTACAACGCTACATGTCCAGTGGTACCCAAAGTATGGAGGGTGGTGTAAGTTCCTTGTTAGTGTGGATTATGACGGCAGTAGCAGTGCATTGCTGAGAAACATGATGAGAGAAGGTTTAAAAGGGAATGAAAACGGATGAAGAGCAACGATCACTAGTGTAATTCGTACTCCACCCTTGTCCATGCTGTCGTAACGTTGTCATGCCTCAGCTCTCTGAATGGTGCTTCACCCAACCCAGCCGGGGAAGACAGAAGATAAAGCTTGCTAGACCGGTGCGTATTAAGGACAGAGCATTGTTATGTGTATAAGTCACGTCTTCACCTCTGTCTTTCAACCCGACGGTAGGTTGTTTGGCCGATTGACGATCAGCTATCTACTCCCGTCCACACATGCTCGCAATCCGTGCCATGATGACGAATCGATTTCGCCAACTGCGCTGGGCTAAATAGCAACCTGTGCTGCGGATGACGATCAAATATCGTCAGTTTTCCGCATGCCCTGCCGCAGGTCCACTTCGTGTCTCGAACCCGTGCTTCAGCATTCATCCGGTGCGGCCGCCTATTATAAGTCGCATTTGCCTTAAAATACCTTCTCAGACTTCAGATCCGTCTTTAGTAATTCGCTGGAACATCATCTTTACGCTGTCTGTGTCAATAGAAAAATGCGTCAGCAGTATACCGGCCTATGTACCCGCGTTTCGCTGCCACGCAGTCACCCGTAATCACGAGTGGACTGCAGGGTACCGCAACATTGCCCGCACCTACGCAGGTACTAACCGGTGACTTTCGGATTGCGAGGCAGACGCGCAACTTTTTCGGCCACCAGCCGACTTTTACGTTGTCTAATTTGATTTTATCAGTGTTGTTCGAATGTCTTTGATAGGCTTACACATTAAATTGTTCCCAATGTCAATAATACAATCCTACTATGTAAGTATCTTGAAAATCCTTGAGAAACTGAGCACAAGTAACGATATGTTGATTTCGACCCAAAAGACGTTTTGGTAAAGTGAAAAAGCACAGTGCTCGTTGGTATAGATGCTACAAAGTCAAAAGGAGACAAATCCAGATGGCTCCCAACAATGTACGGTCGTTGCTTAGTGGTGCAGGACCATACGCTCAAGTGACATCTGTGCACCTTTTCCTTTTTTCCATCTATACACTTTCCCAGTTTAATAATGCCATTAAAGTCAATTCACATTCGATAGCAGAAAATGCCGAAAGTTCACCCATCTGGGGATGATTTGACCTAACTTAACAGTAGCAAATGTGAGGCGAATGTGGACAGCTAATGTGCCAATAGGGAAATTCTTTGAAGATAAACTGAACTACGCATCAATCACAAAGCGGCAAGAGCAGGTAAGCCGAAAAGGTATACACAGAAATAGATGGTCTAATGTTTCGCAGACAGTGCTGGAAATAAGTGCGCAGTTGTTTTGCAAGCAGAAACCTCTACAACTACATCCATCCAGATACCACGCTCAAGAAGACTAACCGATAAAACACCGGGACATACATGTGACTCAGTCAGTCAGTCAGCTAGCTAGATCATTATTATTGACTGGATACGCTGTGCCGTTATGATAGTAGTCTTTGTATCGGGTCCCTTTTCTGCCGGTAAATGGCCAAAAGGATTACAAGCCTGCCTTGTAATCCGAGGGCGCGGTCTCGAGTCTGCGTAGGGGACCGGGCGATCCTCGGGTTACCCCTAGTCTACGCGTGACTGGTGGTGACTGCGCGGCAGCGAAGCGTCAGTTCTGCGTACTGGCATACTGCTGATACCTACCTGTAGCTGGTTTAGCTGAGTAGCTCAGCAGGTATAAGCAATGCAAAACCAGTTGCCACCCACATGCCAATATAAACATTGATTGGTCGAATCTGGGCAGTGAATCTCGCTCAGCCAGGAATCGCGTCAAATTACTTATTTTACCACCAATCACTTCAGGACACCCGGCAGATGTCCGTAAAGCATATCCTACTCAGAATACTCAACGGATCGGCATTCGCGTCAGCGAATCCAACTGAAACCTCTGGTGATAGGTAGGAAGTATAGAAAATAGAGGAACGATAGCATAATTAGGGGTAAAAAGACTCAAATGGGGAAATGGCTTTAGGGTCGGAAAGCATTCCTTTTGGAACATAACGTACGTTTCCTTTATGGGAAGAATCACTTACTTCCGATACAGTACAAGTCTGATGAGGAGTCTCCGTCATCCTGTGCTCGGTAACCAAGGGTCGAGAAAGATCATGTACAAGTTCCTCGATAGAAGGACCAATCGGAGTGGATGTCTGATCAGTCTCAGCCACGACTGTTTTCGTCGGAAGCACCTGAAGTTCCTGCATCGGTGGTGGGAGTTCGACATCCATACTCTCTTCAGACACGTTATCCAACACGGCCGCGCCAGAATTAGAGACGGATTGGTTGGTATGCGAATGAGGTGGCTGGTAGCCAGTGGAGGTCACCCGGGGCACAGAAGTGGGGTAAGGTGCTGGGAATGCCTAAAGGGAGAAAATGCAGCATAATCACCATCATTTAGACGTCAAACAGCGTCATTCATAGGGCGAATAACAAAGCAGCGCAGCTAGAAACAGCTAATGTCGCAATGAAAGAAGGGCAGCGAAGCTAACCTGAGGTTCATGCATATCAGCTTTGGAACCTCGCTTATTCGGAAGCGCGATACCTGCAGTACCGCGTCGAGCGTCTGTGCCAACGGGCAGCCATTTACGGATGGCGGTACTAGAGCGCCGGTTACTGGTGGTGGAAACCGTCCGCCGACGTCCTGAGGGTGCGCCGATGAGGCGAGAGGGGATGAATCCCTCCTTGATGGGGGAGGAAACGGAGGTGGTCATGCCTGTGGTGAGCATACGAATGTAAGTCCATTCGCCGGAACCCATTTTCGCGGATTTGTCCTCATCATCATCACATTGTGAAGAGGGCAGTTGTTGGCTGTGACAGCGGTATAGCACATGAACGATTTGATGCGCTGAGACCGATAACTCCTTGGGGTTTGTAGCCTAGAGAAGCAAAATAATGCGGGATAGTTATGTTGGGAATCTTCGCAACAAGATGCCGCCTGTAACAACAATGACGCACCAGTAAATTGGCCAGATGCCCATCGGAATAGAGTGATATCAGGAACAGTTAATATGGAGAAAGTCAGAAGCACAAAGATTATCACCGAGAGTATTTAGTTGGGATTACAGCGAAGGTAATCAAGCGGACCCAAAACAATTCTCTAACAGGATGACACAGGACAAGGAAGAGACAGTGGATTATGCAGTGAAATACGGCATAAACGTTCCACGAAAGGGTTAGACAACAAAGCTAAGGGTGACCATAAGAAATCATCGTCCAGACACCAATTGATGAACTTTAGATAAGAAGTCAGGCGTGAACTTTGGATGGTTTTGCTGCTGACAAATATGAGAACACAATCTCACTTGAGTCAAAGAAGTAGCGAAAGACCCCACGATGCGCACCGAGACAGTTGGGTGAATGCGGCATTCAAAAAATTTGCAGGCGATTTCAAATGGCCAGAAGTTAGTGAAGCAAAACCACCAAACCTCCGCAGGCGGATCGGACTAATTAGAAACACAACTGGTTAGCCGAATACATGTACTCAGTCAAGTAAATGGCGGCCTGTGCAAACACAAGAAACCGCGCAGTGTGAAGAGTGTCGTAGAACTCGATCCATAAAGAACGAACGGTTTATCAAACAAGGCAATATAGGCGAAAATAACAGCATGACCAACCTTTAGTAATGTAATGTGTCAGCAGTACACCTTCTCTGCCATTCGGCCACTACCAGTCGCCCGCGGGCTGAGTATACCGCGAGGACGCCCACCCCTACGCGAATTCGAACCGGTGACCTTATAATTGCAAGCCAGGTGTGTAGATCACTAGGTCACAGGCGGACACCAACCTTTAGAATCCTATATGTATCTAACCAAGTCACTTGAATAACTTTCAAACTTCGACGGCGATTGATTCGGGAACTCCGTCACATCAAGAATGCACGGTGGACGGAGAAGGCGAAGCAGATGGAATGCTACACCGAAAGCCACCAACATAAGTAAACCTTTGATTATTTGGAGGCTGCGTGTGCAACGTGATTGCAGCCGCTGAGAGCGCTGCTCGATGCTACTTCAGGCGCTGTGTGCACACAGACTGCAGACAACGCAGATCTGGTTAACACACTTTGATTGTCGCCTGAACAACCGTTCAGAGGCTGACTGGCCTACGTTGCATGGGCTGCGACAGCGAGTGACGAAGAGGTTAATCCCAAAGAGAAACGCAAGCGGTGATTTCAAAGCAAACAAGTGTTCTCGATTTGTTCGTCATTAGGCTCAGAACAGAAATAGACGGTGAAAAGCTGATAAAATCAATTGAGGGTACAAAGAGCAACAACTGGTCAAAAACACGAATTGAGTTTATCGACGTGAGTTTGGCTATCATATGATAGAAGGCAAGTGGGATTGCTGGGTTAAGTCCTACTGCCCACGTTTGAATAATGGACATGGGAGCTGCAGCACTTGGATGTCTTTTTTGGATGCATAGATTCGGATTTATGCATATCGCTTCCGCGGTAGCAAGTAGTTCCGCACTCAGCCGATGGTTCTGCTGGTACGGTGCTTTGTCTATGATCTCGAAAGCAGTCCTTTTGTCGATTTTGCGGCCAGTGCTGATCAGGTTGTTTGTGATCGCACTTAAGCTAGTTTCATCTTGTTAATTCATGAGCCCACTTAATAGATGTTCTTTGATTATTTTGCACAAATGCCTAGTCGTGCGTCCAACGTACCATGACCCGTAGGAGAGGTAAACCGATAGATTGCCATAGATTGGAGATGACCGGGCACTTTGTTTTTGAATATATGAACAAATAGCAACTTGCTCATGAAGACAACTTCCAACTGAGCTGCATTCAGGATTTTCTCGCAGATTCGCACCAGCTGCCGCGTACGTACTTCTGTCGCGTTCTCGCCTCTAAATAGAAGAGCGATAAACAGATTTTATTTTCGACTGCTTGGTTTTATGTGAGTGTCAACGAAGCGCTTTGGGTAACCGTTTTCTAAAAGTACTTTTTTGAATCGCTTCAATTCATCCGCGATGGTGTTCTCGCTACAGATTCGATATGCAAGGTTTGCTAAAGGGTGAACCAGTGTTCATTTACGGTTGAGTGTCTTGCCGACACGTCGAGACTTGATAAGACTCAGAGAGCAGTTGCTCTGCTGCTACCACTGCACAAGGGTAAGGGAAGCAAGCAATGCTGCACGAATAATCGTGGCAATAACTTGCTGAGTTGTGCGTGTAAAGTGATCGCCCGAATCTTGCGCAACCGCCTTGTCACTCAAGTCGTGGAACCGAACGTGGCGGAAGAGTAATGCGGAAATGGTTCGGGCCGCTGCACCATTGCTAGTGTTCGCGGCTCTCTAGTTGCAGGAGAAATGTCGAAAACGACACCAGCCTTTGTAATGGCTGTTTGTCAACTTCATCAAGGCTTTTGACACGGTAAACCGCGAGGCATTGTGGCTGGTGTTGGGTTAGTTTGATTGTCCGAGTAAGCTTGATTGAATGTCGAAACAGTGGTATGCAGGCGAGGGTGCAGTTCTGGATGACTTCGCTGTTGTTTCTGGTGTAAAGCAAGACTGTGTCTTAGCCTTTGTGCTGCTTAACATTTACCTAAATACAATGGGGTCTTGTATTTAGGATGCTGCTTGCGACTACGGTGTCCGTGTAGGGCATTGTATTAATGATGAGTTGTTGACCATCCATCGTTCCGGGACGAGAACCCTAGTGTGTGAGACAACCATGCGTATGTTGACGTTTTCCAAAGACTGTGCGCTGTTTGCACAAAACGCGGATGAGTTGCAGCACATGACTTCGGTTCTCGCCTTGACAGCGGAAAAGAGTATTTGATTTTTCCAGCCTTCAACAGGAATGGAATAAGTGAGCCAGCCCCAAATCCAGATTGCTAACGACGAGTTGGAGACAGCGTAATAATTTTGCCACTTTGGGAGCATAATATCAACCGACCTGCAGATGGTCGACGAGCCTCGCGCCCGAATATCGAAGGCTATTGCTGCACTAGGAAAACTGGAAAAAGGTGTGTGAAAGAACCACCAGCATACCGTTGGAACGAGGCTGATGGTATACAAGTCGATGGTGCTGTCCGTTCTTCTATACGGCAGCCAAGCGTGGACGATGTACCGAGAGGACGTCAGAGATATGGAGCGGTTTCATTAACAGTGTCTGCGACTGGGGTGACCGAATTGCAGCCACGGAAGCGCTCCGCCGCAGTGGCATGTATGCAGTGGACTGCATACTTCTGCTGAGGCACCTGAGATGGCTTGGACATATCAACTACATGGATTCAATGCGGATGTCCAAGCATCTACTATATGGACAATTTAGTCCGGGGAAACGGTAAGTCAGAAAACCGAAATTATGGTACAAGAACATGATCAAAGTGAGCTTAAGTGACAAATCGCTTGAAAGCCTTGCGCCAACACGTTTGCACCGGAATCAACAAGAACAAAGCCGGCAATGGAATGTGTGCATAGCAAACAGCAATGCACAATGGTGTCCGGGTTGATGAAACATGCGTAGGCGATCATTAAGTTACCCTTTTCTGAAGCGGTGCAAAAGATGTGTAGATGTGGTGGCTGTGTACAATGGTACACATCTCAGGATTTTTATTTTATCTAGCCCTTTCATTCCTGTTAACCATTTTTTCTATACGAATTAAACTGCTAGCTTAATTGGCTGGTCCCAATCGAGGTTAACCCTACACAGTTTTTGCAGGAGCTTTGCGGGCATGATGCAAGGAGCAATCGGTCCAAGAGGGTCGTATAGGGGAGGCCACAGACAAAATTGATCTCGTTTTAGGCACATCCTTCATATCGAAACGGAACAAAAAAACTATCATCCATCGCACTGCATACTATACCTAATGTGCAGTATACCGAGAGATCTAATTGAACTTGAGAGCTTAGTAGACGGTACCGTCTTGAGCACCTCAGGGCTGTTGGAGGCCCACTTTCGAAGCTTAAATCCAACTTTACCAAGCAGTTCCAGAACATGTACAACAAACTGGACCGCTTCAAAGCTAGAAGACAATGAATTCAAACAGTCGTCAACGCAAAATCCATGTACATTGGCATAATCCTGACACAATTCTGTTGTATCGATCCCACGTCCGGCGCAAGGCGAAACTAGTACAAAAGGGAGATGAAATCGCTCCAAATGGATGAACAGTCATCTGATACTCTAAAGTACCGGTCACAATCACTGTCTCTCTACTACAGGCAACACAAGGCATAGTGATCATTCGCTGGAAACTTCACGTGCAAAAACATCTTAATGTACGCCACCACTGCGACTCTGTCATTTCTGTATCGCATGAGAACTCCAATAAGGCTGGATGTGCTGTCCGGGTTTTGCAACAACCGATCATTCAGAAAGAGACCCTTGTAGTTTGTAGCACAGTCGAAAACAATCATCATCTTATGGGGCTTTTTAGAATTTATCACGACATGATGAGGTAAAATCATCTGGGTGTATAGGTGGGCTCCAATTGATTCGATGGAAGAGGCACAGCGTAACCGCAACTGATAGTAGCCTCGACGACCGCCGCGTAAATCCCACGGAGTGGTTAGCTTTCAAACGTTTTCGCAAACTTTGTAACCGCTGCAAAGTCATATCATAAAAATTCAGCATCTAGACATGCGAGTTTGGCCAAGGTAGACCGATCCCAAAAGGACCATTTATCAAATGAACCGATTTTTGTGGAATGAACAATGCAGCATTATCTTCCGCTGAAAATTCATGATCTCCTGAGTCTACACGCGCGGTCACTGCAGCATAACCTATCCAGCTGCTCTTCAACGCACGGCTCATCAACCCGGACACCAGTATGCATTGCTGCCTGCTGTACGCGTATGCAAGTATCGGCTTTGTACTTGTTGATTCCGACAGAAACGTGCTAGCTCAAGGCTTCCAAGCGATTTGCCAATTA